CTAGCAGAGTTAGAACCACCAAGGCAAACACTCACGCCTTAAAGAAATTGCTGCGAGATACACACAGCACCAGGTTTACCAGACTAACCACTCACAGCCATTTATTCTGAGAGGCACCCGCACGGAGGGAGAGGGCAGGCTCCTCTCCATGGTTCACCCCCCAGACCCCTGCAACCGTGGGGCCGGAAGCCAGGAGCTGGGAGCTCAGCCCAGGTCGCCCACGTGGGCGGCGGGAACCCAAGGACTGGAGCCCTCGCCGCTGCCCCCGGGGTCTGCGTGAGCACCAAGCTGCAGCCAGGAACCAGGTTGGGTGGGGTGGGACGCAGGCGTCTTAGCCACCAGGCCCAGCGCCTGCCCCCACGTCAGCAGTTTCAGGAGCACAGCTCAGGGGTGTTGGGGACATTTGCCACCGTCTGCCACTTCTTGCCAAGCTAAAACTCTGTCTCCATTAAACAGTAGCTCTGCCTGCTCCAGCCGCAGCCAGAGACAATGTATCATCTTTCCCACCCCCGGGAACCTGACTGTGCTCCTGTTGCGTTCAAGTCCTTTGTCCTGCCAAGTGGCTGCGGAACCATCCGGCCATCCACCGTGGGGCTGCTCTGCCGTCAGACCTGCGGGCAACCCCGGTGGCCCCACCCTCCAAGTGGACTCAGAATCTGACCGCTTCGGCCCACAGCCATGGCCAGCCTCTGGGCAAGTCCTGTCCACCTGCTGCCTGAACCACTTGCTCCCGCCTCGCTTCCTCTGCCCTTACCTCCCCATCTCTGCCCATCCCACGTGCAGCTGCGGAGAGCTCACCAGAAGCCATCAGACCCTGCTCTCCGTGGCTCCAGTCCCCCAGGGTCACAGCCAGTCTTCCCAAGTGTCCACAAGCATGCTTCCACCTCAGGGCCTTTGCACTTGCTGCCCCCTGTCCGGGGCCCCCTCCTGCATGGTCCACTCCCTCAGGTTCCCTCAAGAACTTCCCCGTCCACTCTGTGGTCAGTCAAGTCCTCAGCCCCCTGACCTTGCACAGTGCACACCTCACTCACCTGTCTTCTCTGGGAAGAGGCCATCACTTCTGTCTTGTTCGTGAACGTGTCTCTAGGGCCTGAGCCACACAGGTGCTGATAAGTCTTTGACCTTATGAAGTCTTTGGGTCATTTTTTGGCTGCCCACACCTCAGCACAAGGCTGGTCTCAATCCAGGAGCCGGCTAAATCACTCCTGCAGTCCCAGAAACGGCCGCACGGGGGCAGCAGACGCCCAGGCAACCTTCGCTGGCCATCCTGGCCCGGATTCCAACAAGGGGGCTTGGCAGCCGCGGGGTCTACACCCCGCTGGCCTGATTTGCCAGGTGCGGAAGCTGAGGCTCCGGAGAGGAAGTGTGGTGGGGGAAAAGTCGGTCATTGGAGTCGGAGAACCTGACTTTTAAGCCTGGCTCTCCCTGCTCACTGTGGTCTTGGGGGAGGTCCTTGCCTTCTCTGGTCTCAGTTTCCCTGCGAGCGCTGGCAGCAGTCAAGTCCTTTGGGGCTCAAAGGTCTGATTCACCCCCCAGTGAAGGTGACGGGAACCATGGGCTCAGAGCCCCCGGGGCAGAGCAGGGGTGCGGTCACCCCCTCTTCCAGACCCGTGACTGAGGCCCGGGGGTACCAGATTTTGGCCAGGGAGCATAGCAAGGAGGGTCCCTACAACCCTGTGCCTGCCACTCACTAGCGACAATGCTGTCAGTGTCAGTGGGGGGCAGGAGGCACCTGCTCCACCCGCCCCGGGGCAGCCACGTGGGCCCAGCCCCTGGTTCCAGGTGTTACATGAGGAGCCGGAAGTTTGACTTTTGATTCAAAATCATCTGAATTTTAAGTGCTGGCAAAAAAATTCACTTAAAAGCCTCCCCGAATCGGGCAACTCACCGTGGGTCAAGGCGAGCGCCTCTGTGAGTTGGAGCTGGCCAAGGCCACCGGCTGGAGACCCTTCACCCAGCCCCGCCCCCGTGCTTACAACTCCCACGGGGCTGGGACCCGGGGCGAGCTGGCCCCAGGCGGGTCCTGAGTTCCGAACCCCCAACCCTGCCCCGCTGGGCTCTGGGGGCTCAAGTGCCCCCTTCTCCCTCCTTGGGGAAGGACAGCACTGATGTGTGACCCGAGAGGGCACAGACCCCTGTGTCAGCACCGGGCCGGGGCTGCCACCTTTGTCAGAGGGTCCAGGGGTCCGGGACCCCGTGGAGGCAGGGCAGAGGCTGTGAGCTGCATCCCAGGCCTGAGCTCCCCCAGGGGTTGGGTCTGGCTGTGGTTGGGGTCCAGGCCCACCCCTGGCCCACTGTGAGCCTCCCCCGGCCAGTGGCCCCACCGTATTCCTGCCCACTTCCGTGATGTGACCCCAGCACTCGCTCACTCCACCGGCCTCAGGTTTCTCGTCTGTAAAGTGGAGAAAGTGTCAGGACTTGCCTGCCGCCCATTCTCAGGGGGATGAAGTGGTTAACAGACACCCAGCACTTACAGTGGGGCACAGAGAGGGAGGGTCCTCCAGCCAGCGGCCAACTCCCCAGGCCCCACTGGAAGGTCCAGCGAGGGGAACCGCTTTGCCCGAGGCCACACAGTGCCACCCAGCCCAGCCACCAGTGGACGCTACCTTCTGAGCCGCTCTGCGCACCTGCTGGCTGTAGGCACTGAAACCACACACCCCCCCCCGGGGTGGGGAGCCACAAGATGGCAGGGGAGATCATTTGGGTAAAAATGAGAATGGAGACAAAAATGAACCTTGGGGTGCTGTGGTGTAGTGGGTGAAGCTGTAACCTGCAGTGCTGGCATCCCATAGGGGCGCTGGTTCGAGTCCTAACTGCTCCACTTCTGATCCAGCTCCCTGCTATGGCCTGGGAAAGCAATACAAGGTGGCCCAAGTCCTTGGGCCCCTGCACCTGCGTGGGAGACCTGGAAGAAGCTCCTGGCTCCTGGCTTTGGCCTGGCCCAGCCCCATTTGGGAGTGAACCAGCAGATAGAAGACTCCTCTCTCTGTCTTTCCCGCTCTTTCTGTAACTCTGCCTTTCAAAAAAAAAAAAAAAAGAAGTTTTGGTGTGTGTGCGTGAAAGGCCTGACCAAGGGCCTTGGACTTTCTGTGACGGGAGGTAAGGAGGGCTTCTCAGGGGAGGTGACCTTTGGGCTGGAACCGAGGAGCTGTGGTGGGGTGGGGGGTGCTCTCCTTCCCCAGGCAGTGGCTCACTGGTACGCCCAGGCCAGTCCTCAGGCTGGGGGCAAGGGGTGGCGACAAGACAGTGAGAACAATGGTGGCTGGAGACCCCGGGCTGGTCGGGGTGTGGCTGGAGACCCGGGCTGGGAGGGGTGGGCCTCCCGCTGAGCCCTGAGCGCCCCACTGTGCAGCTCAGCAGGCCTGGCTGGGTAGCCCAGGGGAAGTGGCCACACCCGTCTGGGCCCAGAAAGCCAGCAGGCAGGGCCAGCGGTTTAGCCCGGCCCTCCCTGCCCCCTTCCCCCCAAGGGCGCTGCGAGCTGTCGGGCCGGAGGTCACCCCAGCTCGGCAGATAACACCGAGGTTGAGCAATGGTTGCCAGCCTGCTGGGGCCAGGGCTGGGGTCAGTGGGCCGGGGGTCAGCCCCAGGCAAGCTGGGAGCTTCAGCCCTGCCTGGGCAGTGGGGGGGAAGGGCCTGGTGTGGGGGGGCGGGGGCTGCCGGGGCCTCAGATTAGAGCCCTCTGGGCAGGGGGCAGGTGGCCAGAGGACTGGAGGCCTGGGTTCGAGTCCATGACACAGGCACCAAAGCATCTTTCGGGCAGGGGAACAGCAGGTCCGGCAGCAAGCCCACCCCGCGGGTCCAGCAGGGACCTTGTACAGGTGTGTGTGTGGGGTCTCCCCGCTGCCCTGCACCTCCGGTTGGGGTCCGACTCCAGGCCCTCCCCAGCAGGGTGGCAACCAGGCCCTTTGGCCCCCGGGGTTGGCAAACAGGTCTTAGGGGTCAGGGACCAGGGCCACTCCTGCGGGATGAGTGGGGACACCAGGCCATGTGCCCCCCACCCGGGTCTGCAGCACCATGTCCAGTCCACTTGGCCCTTCTGTGGGGGTCCCTCTCCAGCTGCCGTGTGGCGCAAGAGCGGTCCCCCGGGAGCTGTGCGGGGGGTGGGGGGACGAGGCCACGACCGCCCGGAGAAGCCGGGTGGCTCTCTCCCAAGGTCAGCGTGGCAGAGCCGGGCAGCCACCGCCCCTTCGCCGCCCGTCCCAGGGGCCCAGCTGGGGCGGAGCGGGGGCAGAAGCCCCAGGTGCTGTCTACGAGGGCGGGCAGGTGCGGGGGGCGGGGCTAGGGGCGGGGCGCGGTAGACCCCGGCCAGGGCCCCTCCGGAGCGCGCCCCTGTCCCCTCGCCCGCCCACCCCCAGGATCTTCTCCTCCGCGGTGGCTTTAAGTGCGGAGTCGGGGAGTCGTCCCGGGCGTGGAAGTCGCCATTCCCAGCGCAGTGGACCTAGGGGGCAGGGCTTGGGGCGGGGCCGCGGCCGAGGCGGGGCCGGGGAGTCGGGCGCTTCTCCGCGAGCCGGACCTGGGCCCGGGGCTCCGGGGTCCGCGCTCCGAAAGACGCCGGGGCCGAGTCGGACCCACCCGAAGCCACCGCCTCCTCCAGCAGGGGGCGGGCCGCGGCCGCGTTTCGGGTGGGGGAAGGCGACCAGGTCGCCCCCTCCCCTTCCCGGGCAGCCTCCAGCCCAGAGGGGGCGGTCCGGGGGCGGGGTCGCGCCTCCCCCTGTCGCTCCCAATCCCGGGGCTGCCGGGTGGGGGTGGGCAGGGGGGCGTGAGGCCAGCCTCCGCCACCCCCCGCGGCCGGCGGACCCCAGCCCGGGGCGCGCTCCGGCCCCCGCGGGGCCGGCCCCCGGCGTCCCGCCGCCGCCGCCGCCGCCCTCCCGGGGGTCCCGGGCGGCCGCGGCCGCTGCGTTCCGGCGGCGGCGGGAGGGGCCGGGGCGGCCCCCAGCGTGACGCAGCCGTTGCTATGGATCGCCTTATAAATAACCGGGCTCGGGAGAAACTTTAGCGAGTCAGAGCCGCGCACGGGACCGGGAAGGGGACCCATCCGAGGGTCCAGCCGTCAGCCCCCGCACTCCCAGCGGCCACGCCGGCAGCGGCGGCAGCGGCAGCGGCCCAGCGGCGACAGCTCGGAGCCGGGAGGCCGCGCCACCCGCGGGCCGGCCGGAGCGGGCAGCCCCAGGCCCCCTCCCCGGGCACCCGCGTTCATGCAACGCCTGGTGGCCTGGGACCCAGCATGTCTCCCGCTGCCGCCGCCGCCTGCCTTTAAATCCATGGAAGTGGCCAACTTCTACTACGAGGCGGACTGCTTGGCTGCTGCGTACGGCGGCAAGGCGGCCCCCGCGGCGCCCCCCGCGGCCAGACCCGCGCCGCGCCCCCCCGCCGGCGAGCTGGGCAGCATCGGCGACCACGAGCGCGCCATCGACTTCAGCCCGTACCTGGAGCCGCTGGGCGCGCCGCAGGCCCCGGCGCCGGCCACGGCCACGGACACCTTCGAGGCGGCTCCGCCCGCGCCCGCCCCCGCGCCCGCCTCCTCCGGGCAGCACCACGACTTCCTCTCCGACCTCTTCTCCGACGACTACGGGGGCAAGAACTGCAAGAAGGCGGCCGAGTACGGCTACGTGAGCCTGGGGCGCCTGGGGGCCGCCAAGGGCGCGCTGCACCCCGGCTGCTTCGCGCCGCTGCACCCGCCTCCGCCGCCGCCGCCGCCGCCGCCCGCCGAGCTCAAGGCGGAGCCGGGCTTCGAGCCCACGGACTGCAAGCGGAAGGAGGAGGCCGGAGCGCCGGGCGGCGGCGGCGCCGCAGGCATGGCGGCGGGCTTCCCGTACGCGCTGCGCGCCTACCTCGGCTACCAGGCGGTGCCGAGCGGCAGCAGCGGCAGCCTCTCCACGTCCTCGTCGTCCAGCCCGCCCGGCACGCCGAGCCCCGCCGACGCCAAGGCGCCCCCGGCCGCCTGCTACCCGGGGGCGGCGCCGGCGCCCTCGCAGGTCAAGAGCAAGGCCAAGAAGGCGGTGGACAAGCACAGTGACGAGTACAAGATCCGGCGCGAGCGCAACAACATCGCCGTGCGCAAGAGCCGCGACAAGGCCAAGATGCGCAACCTGGAGACGCAGCACAAGGTCCTGGAGCTCACGGCCGAGAACGAGCGGCTGCAGAAGAAGGTGGAGCAGCTGTCGCGCGAGCTCAGCACGCTGCGGAACTTGTTCAAGCAGCTGCCCGAGCCCCTGCTCGCCTCCTCCGGCCACTGCTAGCGCGGCCGCCCTGCGGGCCGCGGGACTGCGCCGAGCGCCGGCCCCGGCCCGGCCCCGGGGCGCTCGGCCGCGCGCGCGGGGAGCCCGCCGGCGACTTGGCTACTTTCTGTCTGTCTGTTTGCGGCCGCAGCCACCGCGCGCCGCGGCGGTTGAGGAAGACGCGTGTGCGCGCACGGACGGACGACGGGCGCTCTCCGCTGCCGCTCCGCGGGCGCCGGCGGGCGGGCCGCTCTCGAAGTTGATGCAATCGGGTTCAACATGGCTGAACGCGGGCGCACACGACCCTGACGCAACCCACGTGCAACTGTCAGCCGGGCCCTGAGTAATCAGCCAGCGATGTTCCTGCGGGGTTGTTGCTGTCCATGTTGTTTTTGTTTTTGGTTTTTTTTTTTTTGGTCTTTTTTTTGTATTATATAAAAAATAATCTATTTCTATGAGAAAAGAGGCGTCTGTATATTTTGGGAATCTTTTTCCGTTTCGAGCATTAAGTGAGAATACTTTGAATAAACTTTTTTTTGAGAATGGTTACAAAGCCTTTTGGGGGCAGTAGTTGGATTTTGATTTTTTTTTCCTCTTTCCTTTTGGATTTACAGGGTTTTGGCTTTGCCGTTCTGGTGTGTAGGGGGTTGTGTGGGGGGGGCACCATTATTTTTGGAGCTTTTGGTGGCTGGCCGGGGGTGTTGCAGCTGCTTTCTCGCCCCCTCTGGAGATGGGGGCGCCTGCCCTGGGGGAGCAGAGCTGGAGCAGGCTTCTGGGGTGACTCAGCGCCCTAGGGTGCTGGCGCCGGGCGGCTGGGAGCTCTGCTTGGGGCCAGGCTCGGGTCTGCGCCCCCCCCCCCCCCCCCCCCGCTCTGTTTGGGGGACCAGCATGGGGGCGTGAGCGGGCCTGGCCGGCAGGAAGAGGGGCACCGGGCCGGGCAGGGGGCGGCCTGCCTCCTCCTCTGGCCCCTGTCCCGCTGTGGGGGAACTTGTCAGTCGCTTGCTTTGTGACCCAGAGGCTCCGCCTCACCTGCTGGCTCCCGGTGGCTGTGCCCGGACTTGAACCCGGGGACTTGAATCCTTCCTGCTCCGGGGTCTGCGCTCTCCCGCCCCTCCCCCTGCACCCCGCCCCCCACCCTGAGCATTCCTGGGAGCTGAGGACGTGGATGTGGGGGTGACGGAGCCCCGCGCGGTGTCGCCCGGTGCCTGGCGCGCACCGGGGCTTATATAAGCGTTTGCCCGTGCGATTATTTTTTGCTGGGAGGCTCCTGGCATCGGGCGCCTCTGTCCTCGGGCAGCGCCAGTGTGGCGGGCGCTTGCCAGCGGCTGCGCTGCCTGCGAACGCGGGCCCTGCCCGGGCTGCTTTGGGCCTCACCGGTCTCTGGGAAGCCGGCGCGACGGTGGCGCCTGTTGCTGGGCCGTGGAGCAGCTGCCGGCGTCAGCTCCGCGTGGGCTCCAGACACTGGCTCGGGGTCCCCATGCCCCGAGGGACTCCAGAGCGGCAGCTTCAGAGAGGGGCTTGCCGGGCCCAGGGGTGGCCTGGGGTCTTGGGAGCAGCTACCGACAGTGCGGTTTGAGGCCAGGGAGAGCGTTTTCTTGCATTGCTTTTACCCTGTGGGAGCCCCGGATGTGGGGGACAGAGGCAGCGAGACCCTGGGCGCCCCCACCGTCGTGGAGCTCTGGCTGGACACACGCTTTCCCTCCCAGTCACCAGCGTCTCCCAGTGGTGGCCGCAAGGGGCCAGGCAGACTGCTGGAGCCAGGTAACCTGTCGTCGGCCCTGACCAGGTCTCCTTCCAGCCCTGGGCGGCCAGGCGGGCCCCTGGGGCCTCGGTCAGCCCAGCCCAGCCCAGCAGTCTCCGTGGCTCCCTCAGCGTCAGCCACAGCGACGTCGGCTCAACCACCTGTAGGAGAAGCTTGTAGAAGGCCCCGGTTCGGGGGACTGGCCTGCGGCGGGCGGTGGCCCCTCTGTTTCGGGGCAGAGGGTGCGTTCACCGTGAGGACTCCCCCCACCCAGCCATTGTCCCTGCGCACGGGAGTGCGGCCGGTCACACGGGACCCGGGACTCTCAGGTCGCGCTCTTGCCTTGTTGTCATCGGCACACTTCTGAGAAGTGAGGTCTGTGTGGGGTGACAGGTGGGGCCGGGATGAAGCCCTGCCTGACCCCCCCCACCTCGTGAGTGTGTGGGGCAGGGCGGCTTCTCTGTGAGCCCAGCCCCGACCCCACGTCCTCACCCTTCCCCCAGGGTGCCTTGCAAGAGCCACACACAGTGTCATGGTTAGGAGCACTAGGAAGGGGACAGGCCTAGGGCCGTCGCAAACTGTACCCCCCCACACCAGTGGAGGACTCGATCCGCGGCCTCTGTGGCCTCCGGTGAGGGCTGTGTGGCCAGAGCTCTCTCCTAGGTCAAGGAGACATCCTGGAGGGGTGACACCCAGCCTCTGGGTCTCTGGGCTCCAAGGGCCGCGGGCTTTAGGGAGAAAGGACCAGGCCACTCGCAGGTCTGGAAGCCAGGAATGGATGGAGCTGAGGTCGCCACGGGAGCCAGGGAGGCCGTGGCTGACCTCAAGGGACCGAGCCAGGAGCGGGTGTGGGTCAGGAGCTCCCTGTGTGCCCAGCGCCAGCCTGACTTGACTTGCCGGCTCCGTGTCCCTGGCAAGCCCCTTCCGGCAGGTGTGGCTCTGGGGGCTGGCCTGGAACCCCCCACCTGGCCTTGACACTGCACGTGATTTTCCATAGAGCAGTGGGGATAGAGGTGCTGGGGCCTGGCCAGGCTGTCCTCGCTGCTGGAGCTGGTCCCCGTGCCCCTGGGGGCCGGGCCACATCTGCCTGTCCTGGGCTCCGGGATTTTCATTTATTTGACAACCATTTGTTGAGCACCTGCTGTGTGCCAGGCTCTGTACTGGGGTGCTGGGGACGCGTGGTGACCAAGGGGAGACGCACACTAAGCGGCCGAACCAAGAGCAGGACCACAGCAGGTGAGGACAGGGTGGGGTGGGGACGTGGCATGTCAGGTGGCCTCTGAAGGGAGGCAGGCGTGGGGCAGCGAGGTCATGGGTCACTTATTCTGCCCCAGCTGCTGTCCCGCGTGCTCTCCGAGTCCTTGGATCCCTTCAGAACCCAACGATGGAGTGGAGTTTCCCACTCCCCTGCATTCCAGCAGGGAAACTGAGGCAGGGAGGCACCATCGTGGCCCCTGAGCTCACGAGTAACCAACATACGTTGGATTTCTCGCTTCACCTTTGAACCCGCCAGGCCGGCTCCGCCTGCCTCCCCTCAGCTCCAGACCTCTGGCTGCTGTTTCCTGTCCCGTCCCTCCCCCTGCCCCCAGATGACCCACAGCGGGGCCCAGCGGCACCCACTGGCCGCCGGCTGCAGCCGCCGCTCCTGCCGCTGTGGCCATGCGCAGGGCAGTGAGGGAGGCCAGGTCTGGGGAAGCCAGGGGCTTTCCAGGGCCCCGGGCTGTTGGCGCCTGTGCGCCTCCTGCTGACCTGTGAGGTGGGAGTCCCACGTTACAGAGGGGCCCCGAGGCTCCGAGATGAGACGCCCCTCGCGTGGAAAGCAGAGAAATTGGGATTTGAGTCCAGATCTTTCTGCGACCCCGGCTTGTTTGGCTGCCTGTGCCGAGTTCCTGCCCCTGAGAGCCAAGACGCGGCTTCATCCCTTGCTTGCTGGGAGACCTCAGGCAAGGCAGTTGGCCTCTCTGGGCCCGAGTGTCCTCGCCTTGGAGCAGAGAGTGTGTGTATCCAACAGTGTGAAGCAGGCACCTGCTGTCCGGCGAGCTGACCGGCCGCTTCAATTCGGCTTCTGATAAAGGCCTTAGGGACGGTCCGGTGGGGAAGGGACGACTTGTTATGGGTACTCCTGGCAGCAGGAGCAGCAAGTGCAAAGGCCCTGAGACAGGACGAGGCTCCGGGCGAGAGGGCAGGGGCAGGAGCCCCGCTGTGGGGGCCGCCGGGGGCTGAGTCGGGGGCGGACGCCGGGGGATGGTGGGGGCCTGCGTGCGGGGCCAGGACGGAAGGGGTTGTTTTGAGGATGAGCGAGCTCGCGTCTCTGCCAGGGCCTGGCACCGGCAAGTTCTGAGCGAGCCTGTTGACGGAATGAAACAGGCCCCCCGGCCCTTGGGAAGGGGCCAGGTGCAGTGGGTGAAGGGCGCAGGGAGCCGCTGGGCCGGGAGACCGCATGGCAGGGTGGCCTCTGACCCAGGGCCTGCAGCCCCGGGGGCCATGCGCCCAGCAGGATCGGGGCCAAGGGCTCCGGGGAGGGAGCCAAAGGAGGGAGAGGTCTCCAGGGAGCCGGGCCAGCAGGGGAGAGGGCATGGCTCCGGTGTGGTGCGAGGCGGAGCCCAGGCTGCCGAGGGGGGGGGGCGGACCCCGCGGGGAGGGCTGGAGAATGCAGTGTCTGTACAAAGGGGGCAAAAAGCACCCGTAATTCCACCACCCCGAAACAAGCACCTTCACGGTGCTGTGCCGCCCTGGGCAACCGAAATCCCCTCTCTGTGTGTCAGGTGCTTTGTCTATGGGCTGGGACGGTGGCTGCGAGGACTGAGCCGGTCACTCCACACCTGTCTTCAGAGCGGTGCCTGCACGCGGTGAGGTCAGGGGCGCAGGTGCCGGGCTGAGGCTGCGGGCTCGCAGGGCTCCCTGCTGCGCGGTTTGGGGGCCCGGGCCCGCGTCTGGCTGGGCCTCGGCTGCCCGTGGGCCCAGGTAGAAGCCGCCTCTGGCAGTGGAGCAAGTGCGCGGGCGGAGCGAGCTGGGCCTCCCAGAGTTTTCGCTCTTTGCTCATTTTCCCCTCGGTGGAGCCGGAGCTGCGGGTTTGAGACGCCCCTTCCCCCACCGCTGGCCCCTCGGGGGTCTCCCCCTGCTACCCCTCCACCGTCGCTGGGGGTGAGTGGCGGAGAGAGGCTGGATTCTCCCAGCTTCTCTTGCAGCTAGATGTAGCCAGCAGACAGAAACAGAAGCTGTCGGTGGAGCTCCCAGGAGCACCTGCGAAAGGGGTGACTCGGCTGTGAGGCCCGTTCCTTCTCCGTTGGTTGCCCCCATCTGCCGCTGCTTCCTGCTTCCTGCCTGGAACTCAGATGTGATGGCCAGAGCTTCAGGGACCATCTTGAACCATGAGGCGAACCCTGGGGCACGGCGTGTGTGTGTGTGTGTGTGTGTGTGTGTGTCGCATGCTGAAGAAGACAAAAGACAGAAGGTTCTCGATGCTGGTGGAGCAGCCACGTCAGCCGTTGCCTGTCTTGCTCTGGGCTTGTTTACCCACGAGAAGCAGAGCTCTGCTTGGTGAGGTCTCTGTCATTTTGGCTTCCTGTCCCTGGCAGCCGACTCTGTTTCCAGCTGACGGCTTTGCCAAGGCAGAACCAACCCATAGACGCTGGTTGGTGACCCGCATTTCTTAGCGACGCCCCAGTGCCTGCTCGTCTGCGCGTGCTCTGGTGACGCGGGTGCACAGGAGCACCGAGTCGCCAGCCCCTCGCGGGGAGAACTCACTGCCGCCGCAGGTGCAGGGAGAACCGCCTCGTGCCCCTGCGCTGCGCAAGTAGGGAGAGCGTGCT